CCACACAGGTGATCCTGCTCTATCTACCCCACACAGGTGATCTTGCTCTATCTACCCCACACAGGTGATCCTGCTCTATCTGATACACACAGGTGATCCTGCTCTATCCGATACACACAGGTGATCCTGCTCTATCTACTCCACACAGGTGATCCTGCTCTATCTACCCCACACAGGTGATCTTGTTCTATCTGCTCCACACAGGTGATCTTGCTCTATCTACCCCACACAGGTGATCCTGCTCTATCTGCTCCACACAGTTGATCTTGCTCTACTTCTAAGTCCTGTAGGTTGCCCTGGGCTTTGCACCTACCAAATGTAATTCTCAAGCTTTCCTTTTGTTAAGCTTCCAGTGTGACACATCCCCCACAGGCTCGGCTTTAGGCTACTTGGTCTTCAGCTGGTGATGCTCTTTTAGGAGGTTCTGGAAACTTTGGGAAGTGGAGCCTCACTGGGGGAAGCTGACCAAGGTTAGTAGAGCTAACTGGTTCTGGTTGATTTGATTTACTCACATGTCTGATCTGCCAGGCTTCTTTATACCCTACACTGACTTAGCTCTCAGTCTTCAATTTCATTAACTTTTTAACAGTTAGCTTTCATTAAAAGTTTCATTATTTTTTTATTTTTTTGCTACCTCTGCAAGTACATGGGAATACATGTACCCAGGAAAACAAGCATACAGGCTAGATTGCATTTTTGAGAACATGTTTTGAAATAGTGGGAACTGTGAAGGAGGTGGGAATACCCAAGCCCTGAAGTCCACAACAGAACAATGGTTAATTCAGATTAGTAATAAAGGGCTGTTTTGTATTTCTGAGAATAGCATGGCCCTTAGATTATGGCACAAACAACCTCCAATAAGAGCCAGCCTGTTGCCAGGAAGAGAGACTTGGAGACCAGAGGCCATGTAGGCAGCCTTGGCCTTGCCATAATAGAACACAGAGTCCCCTTTTAAAGTAGTTTCTTGATGTCATAGATGAAAAACATTTAAAAACAAAACACAAAGGGGGAATTAGGAAGAAAAATCAATTGGTCATGGAGCTCTGGCGGAGGAAGAGGGAAAGTTACCCTTTGTGAGTCAGAAGCCAGAAAATGCCCATATTCCCCAGTGACCATCTGTAAGCAGTTGGATGCGGGGTAGCTGAAGTATATAAATAGATATTTCATTAATGGGAGAGCTATTCAGTCTATTTCTGTGCCCTTAGGCATACCTACCATGTATCTCTTCTCATTGTTTAGCTCAGGCTCATCTTGTTTAAGAAATAAAATAGCCTTTGCTCTTTGGTGTAGGATGTGGAGGAGGGACTCTTATCTCAAAGGCAGTCTCCTCAGGATTCTCTTATTTCTATTTCTAGATAACTGACTTAACGCCTTTGATGAGATGGTTTGTTCACCAAGAGCAGTGAATCAATTTTACTGATTGACCTGGTACAGTTCCCAGCACCCACATCCTCTTCTGACCTCTGTGAGCTTCTGAGTGCACACGAAACTCATAAATCCACACACACACACACACACACACACACACACACACACACACACACATAAATTAAAGAAGGAAAGAAAGAAAACTGACTTACAAGTCAAGCAACATGCTAGGTGTGGTGATGCTTGCCTCTAATTCCATCAGGTAGAGAGACAGGAAGATTGCTGTATGTTTGTGGCCAACCTGGTCCACATAGGGAGTTCTAGGCCAGCTTGGACTACCTTTTCTCAAAAAATAAAAGCAAACACCCTTTCCCCCAAGTCAAACTACTTGCCCAAGACTACCAGTTTGGATTTCAGACTCTATCCTTTGCTGCCCCACCCTATATATTTAGCATATATACATACAGCATTCACTTATGGAGCTGAGACCAATTGAGCTGGCCTGGCCCCCCACCCATCCCTGTTCATTCATGCTGGTGATCATTACAAGAACATCCTTAAGGAAATTGACTTCCCCTTAGTTAATTGTGGGAGATCTGCTCCCACTTTTTTTTCCCCCACGGTACTCTTAAGGAGTGAGGGATAAGAGCTTTAGCTAGAAATACAGAGGGGAGAGAGACAGAAACACAGGATAGCCTAGAGAGGGCCTGGATTCTTATACACCAGCCCCTTCTGTCTCTTCTAAAGGGCGTGTAAAGGAATGCCAAGAGGTGGAACAAAGACCTCCCCCTAGCACAGCCAAGTGCAGACCCTTCCAAACACCTGGTAACCATCCACGTGGTCAATCCATCCCCTTATGCAGCCCTGCTGGGTAAAGCAAGCTCAGATCTCACTAGGAAACCTCTGTGGGCTCCCACAGTTAATGACTAATATTTCATAGAAATGTGCTATACATAGCTCTTGGCAGAATATCCAGTTCTCAGGAATGGGTGTGGAGTTTGTGTGGCCACACTGGGATTTCCTCTTGGTGTTAAGCTGCCTTCTTTTTTTCATAAAGAAAAAAGAAATTGTCTGCTTCAGAGTCACTACAAATCCAGATGCTTCCCCCTTTCCTGAATCTTTCACAGCATCGCTAAATTTATCAGAAAAATTTCCCCTTCTCCCTCTGTAAAGGATGAAGTCAGCCATCCATTTTTTCAGTTTCCAAAATAATGAGTCAAGTGTGCTAGGAGCCGGTTGTTGGGAAATATTTTCCGCTTTCCAATAAAAGGAAAGGCTGAATTTCTCTCGAAGTCTTGGCCATCTCCGTGCGCAGGATTAGTATGTGACAGCTTCGGAAATCGAAGGAACCTAGGGAGGAACCTAGGGCCGAGAAAGGAAGTGCGCCAGGGCTATTTTGGAGCCAGTAGGGCGGGGCAGCAGCTGGAGCCAAAAAAAAAAAAAAAAAAAAACCAAGCAAGGAAGGACAGAGGCGGCTTTAGGCCCAGCCGGCTCGCGGGGCGGGGCCTTTGCTCTCCAGAGCCCCGCCTTCCCGGGGCGGGGCGAGAGCGAAGGGCGGGGCCTCGCTCCGTCGGGGCGGGGCCTGTGGAATCTCGGAATTCCGAGACACGGGGCCCCGGCGCGCGTCTCCCGGCGCGGGATTCCTCTCACGCAGACTCCCATTCAAAAGATGCCGAAGGGGCGGCGCGGCAGCCAGAACCCCAAGATGAGCCAGCGGCCGGCCCCGCCCCTCTACTTCCCGTCGCTCTACGACCGGGGCATCTCGTCGTCTCCGCTGAGCGATTTTAACATCTGGAAGAAGCTCTTCGTGCCGCTCAAGGCGGGCGGGGCGCCGGCGGGCGGGGTGGCGGCGGCGGTAGCGGGGGTCCGACCCCTGCCTCTGGCAGCCCCCGCCACGGTGCCGCCGCCGCCGCCTGGCCTGGGTCCCCCCAGCGAGCGCCCGTGCCCTCCGCCTTGGCCGTCCGGCCTGGCCTCTATACCTTACGAGCCTCTGCGCTTCTTCTACTCGCCGCCGCCAGGGCCCGAGATGGCAGCTGCAGCCCTGGTCCCCGGCTCCACGACCCCCTGGCTCGCCTCCGCCTCCCACCCCGAGGAGCTGTGCGAGCTGGAGATCCGGATTAAGGAGCTGGAGCTGCTCACCATCACTGGAGACGGCTTCGACTCCCAGCGCTGTGCGTGACTGCCAACCGAGCCAGCCCACCCCTAGCTGTCCTGATTGTCCGCTCTAGGCGTCCGTCAGGCACCAACCAGAATGTGACCCCCAGACTGTCCACAGCCCGAGGAGTCCCACTCCCCAAATCTGTCCTCCAGAGGTCCAGACCCCCGCGTGCTGAATTTCAACCGACCCCTGCTTCACCACACACTTGAGCCAATCAAGCCCTTTAGTTTTAAACTTCACTCCTCAGGGGTTCGTCCTTGAGGAGGAAATGTGGACTCAGGATAGACACCTGAAGCACTTCCTCCCTACACTTCACCTCCTACACAGTAATACCACACTTCCGTAGTCTGGAGCTCCGTTCACCACAGGCTGCCTATCTCTGGAGACTAACCTTCACTAGTCAGTCTTACAGGGCGTCTGTGGGTGGGAGGAGATGGTTGGAATTGCCCATACCTTGAAAGCCCTCAGTCATTCACTCTGCCTTTCCATGGGCCCCATGCCCTAAGACCCTCCAACAGGAAATCTCGGACTCTGACATTTGATCTTAGGTCTGAGGTTTTAGGGATCTACACCAGAGCAAAGCAAGTGTATTGATGTAAGCGGGAGTCCTCCGGTATATGAACTGATTCCTCTCTATTGGACAGTAAGGCAGTTAGAGCCAGCTGTATTTCCAGAAGGACCGATTGCTCTGGAATTAGTACTCATAGGCTGTCCTTTCTCATCTGAGGTTTGAATTTGACTACTGGAGGGGGGGCAGATGGCACTGGAAAGACCATGTCACCTGTTCTCTGCAACAGGTTAAACTGCTCCCCTCTGCCACACAGGGAGGTGAAGTATGAAGAAAAAAAAAAGAACTATATATTTAGGTATGCATGGCCATGGGAATGGTCTCCAATCCATCTGATACTCTGTAGGATACACTTTTTCATAGCCACAGGAGACAAAGTCCCTAGAATTTCCAGACATAGGCGTTAGCTATGTTTGAGCTGTTAGGAGATTTTAGGGTCGTGCACAGTTACTTCTCAGAAGCTTGCTCTGAAGTTCTAAGATTCCTCCTCAGAGCAGAGGTGGTGCACACCTGGAATCCCAATACTTAGGAGGCTGAGGCAGAGGGATCAAGAGTTCCAGAACAGCCTGGAGCTACATAGGAAGACCCTGAACAACAAAGCAAAACCTTCCCAGCCACAGCTGAATCTGTTTTGCTCTCCTGCAGATAAGTTCCTGAAGGCGCTGAAAGATGAAAAATTACAAGGACTGAAGACGACCAGGCAACCTGGAAAGTCGGCCTCCGTCTCCTGAGGAGCTGCCTCCCAGAGCCGGGCAGCCACCTCCTTAGATGTTAGTGCTTAGATAATGTGTCCTTTTGTTGTCATTTCAAAGATGGTTATTTTCTGTTCTGTAGTTACTACTGTTGTTGTTGCTCCCAGCACGTACCTTCACATACAGTTGCCCGCTTGCATGGTAAATCTCATGGCCTCTCTCCTCTCTGCTGATGCTGGGGGTCCTCCCTCATGGGATGTAGAGCATGGTAAATCTCATGGCCTCTCTCCTCTCTGCTGATGCTGGGGGTCCTCCCTCATGGGAGGTAGAGCATGGTAAATCTCATGGCCTCTCTCCTCTCTGCTGATGCTGGGGGTCCTCCTCACTCATGGGATGTAGAGCATGGTAAATCTCATGGCCTCTCTCCTCTCTGCTGATGCTGGAGGTCCTCCCTCATGGGGTGTAGAATTCCTGTCTGGCCTGCTATCCAGAGTCTCTTGTGGCTTAAGGAGCGGACCCAATACTGCCACTGCCAGGCACACCAGGCTGGCCCATATGTAGGAGAGACTTAAAGCACAGGCAATAAATACTGGTCCTGATGTTGACTCTCAGCCAGAAAGATCATTTGAGGACTAGAACTAAAATTAGAATTTTAGTTGCCCTCCATCTCAACATCTTTCATTTTTAGAAGTATTTTTTGAACCACAAAACTCTGGTAATCTTATGAAAGACATGGTCCTTCTAAGAAGTTCACATACAATTATTCAAGAAGTATTTATCAAGTCCTTAGTATACCCTTAGACCCCCGCCTAGGTTCTTGGAATTGGGGATGGGGAAAGATAAATGAGTGAAGTACAAGATGGCGTCACAGAAAATAACATGCCAAACAAGGAAAAGGAGAATACAGTAAGGAGAGCTAGACGACCCTAGGGAGGACAGGGCGGGGTTCAAACAGGGTCTCTTTGAAGACAAGGCATGTTTTGTTACCGTTCTGTGATTGAAACAATGTACCCCAGGATAACCTTGAACTCCAAAATCTTCCTGCACCTGCTTCCCAAGTACTGGGATTACAGGTGTATGCTACCAAGCTTGATTAAGAGGTAGCATTTAAACAATGTTGGGAAGTGATTGAAGGTTGTAGCCCTAGGGGAGAATGTTCCAGGCAGAGGGGCCAATGCAAAGGCTTACAGTGGGAGCATGCTAGCTTTAATGAGTCCTTACAAATAAGTGAGCCGGCAGAGCAGAAGGAGTGAGGGGAGAGGGGGAGGGATGAATGCAGAGGAACTCATTCATAGTTCAGTAAGAACTCATTCTTGTAGCCATGACCAGGTCACAAGGTCCTTGCGAGGCGGGGTTTCCAGCCAAGGTGTAACGGGGTCTGACGTGTGGGGCTACAGGTTCTCCCTGCGGCTACACTGTGAACAGACCGCAGGGGTACAATCAGTGAAGCCCGGAGAGGCCTTAGCCATCAGTAACCCAGCTGAAGAGAGTGCTGACAGCAGCCTGTGTTTAGAGGCCATTGGAATCACCGGGCTGAGCTACAACCGCAGGTGGGCAGGTTCTGGGGGAGAGGAGCCATTCAGTCTGAGATATGTGAAAGGGAAGGTCATAGAGCTGTGGGGTACATGAGTTCTGGACAAGGCCTTTGCTGAAGGGCACATTAGGGAGTTACTGATGTGGAGATGTAAGACCCCTGAGACCTCCACAGAAGTGTATGCAGGAAAAATAGGACAAATTTCAGAGCCTCCCTGACCCAACCGTCTGAAGTCCAAAATGTTCCAAGATCTAAAACTTTGACCACCAACTCAACTAAGTTTCATGTCGTGAAACTTTCGTTCCATGCCCCAAAGTATTGAAAATATTGCCTAGAATTACTTCCAGGCTATGTGGATAAGCTATAAACAAGCCATGAATGAATTCCTTAGTTAAGCTAGGGCCCCATCCCCGAGTTAGATATCTAAGTATGTATACATTGCACACTTTCAAAATCAGAAGAGGAAGGTCTCAAACAAATCCACGACACTCCTGGTCCCAAGCATTTTGGCTCTGGAGAGCTCTGAGCCTGGAAGTACTTCTTTGGAGGAGAAGATGCAGAGCCTTGAAAGAATAGAAAGCAATTAACCCCGAGTCAGTTGTGTGCGATGACGGGGCATCAAGGAGGTGATGGCCTGCCTTGATAGACAGTGCTGCATGGGGCTGGCAGGGTGGCTCAGTGGGTAAGCGTACTTGCCACCATCCTGACAGCCTGATTTGGATCCCTATGACCCTCTGATGGAAGGAGAACCAACTCCTGAAAATTGTCACCTGACTTTCACACATATGGTGTGGCACATGAGCACCCACACAGAGACACACACATAAATACCTTATAGTCTTTTATTATTATTATTATTATTATTATTATTATTATTGAGATAGAGTTTCTCTGTGTAGTTTTGGTGCCTGTCCTGGATCTCGCTCTGTAGACCAGGCTGGCCTCGAACTCACAGAGATCCTCCTGGCTCTGCCTCTCGAGTACTGGGATTAAAGGCGTGCGCCACCGCCACCCAGCTAGTTTTTTAATTTTTAAAAGTTAAATATTTTTTAAATTAAAAAGGATAGGGGGCTGGAAAATGGCTCAGAGATTAAGAGCACTGGCTGCTCTTCCAGAGGTCCTGAGTTCAATTCCCAGCAGCTACATAGTGGCTCACAACCATCTGCAGTGAGACCCTATGCCCTCTTCTGGCCTGCAGGTGTACATGCAGGCAGAACACTGTATACATAATCAATCAATCAATCTTTAAAAAAAAATATAGTGCTGACATGGCAATAAGGTAAGCCAAAGAGTCTACTCTTAGACTTAGTAGCACACAATTTGTACTAGTGATATCTTTAAGAGTAATTTTGGTTGAGCAGTAGGATCAAGGTCTGAATGATGTAATTTTAAGAGAGGAAGAGAGGCTGGGAGTAGGTGGATTGGAGCTGATGGGCGCTGGCCATTCCTTGGGTTTGACTGCAAAGGATACCAGCTAGACCTGAAGCCGGCAGAGCAGCAAGTGGTAAGAGAAGACATCAGATTGAAAACTCGCTGCCTGTTTGTGTTCTGAGGAGGGTACTCCAACAGAATGTGATGGAGGTGGAGAGGGTGGAAACTGTTCAAGCGGCATGCTTGAATCTGCAAGAAAGATGGCGTTTTCATTGGCTCCTCAAACAGATTACCACAGACTCATTATGAGAGAGTGGTTTTTCACAGGAAGCCCAAAGATCAAGCACCGGCAGGTTGGTCTCTGCTTGCAAAGCTGCATTTTGAATGTTGCATCATTTGTAGGGGAGGGACATTGTGTCTTCCCTCGTGGCAAAAAAGCCTAACCGGAAGAGGAACTCACTGCTGAAAGCTGGTTTTATTAATTTGATGAAAGAAGGGTGGGCTCGTGACCCAAACACCTCTGTGAGGCCCTGCCTTCCGCCATACACCGTTACACTGAAGGCTAAGCTTCCAAGATGAATTTTGGAGGGAACAGAGGTATTCACACGGCAGCACAGGGTGTCTAGCATTCAGTAGAGAGACCCACTTGAAGGAAGGCACAGAAGACTCATCTCAATAGGGGCTTACCTCTGTGTGGAGGTACAGACGCTCGAAGTGAGTAAATGGGGTGATGGGAACCCTAGAGGTGGCCTACACATACACACAGATTTCAGCAACCCCCAGCTTGAGGATACAAATCTACAAGCCTGCAAGACCTGGCTGGAAACCCTGGAGTTGAGGGCCAGGCAGGACTGGCCCACTGCAGCATTCGAACCCAGTGTTGAAGGGAATAAATTCCTAACGCAGGCAGTCATTCCCAAAGCTGGAATGTGAGCACAGGGTCAGGTGAAAGTCCTTGGTTTTCCATCTCAGCAATTCATCCAGATGACAAAACACTGTGCAGGCCACAGGGATGGAAGGTGAAGTGCCGTGCAGTGATGAACTTTGTTCTATTACTAAGGCCCTCCCACCCTGGCCGTGACTCTGGGTCCTTCTTCCCATGCTTGGAAGATGACAGACCTGAGTCCAGGCAGCCTCGGTGCTACTAGAGAAGTTCTTGTTGTCCTTGAGAACTTAGGGCTTCCAGGGCAGTGACTGCTGGGGCCTGAACAACCTTAATGACAACAAATGAGAATCAGCCAGGACAACCCAGTGCAAAGCTCAGATGGAGACAGAGGTGTCCCAGGGGGCCTGTGACCCATTATCTCCCTGGAGTCCAGAAAGCCCCTCACAAGGCTATACTCAGATAAGTGCAAAGTGCTCAGGTGTTGCAGCTGACATTAATTTGATTTGATTTATGACATTTAGCCCCCCCCCCCATTGTGAGATAGGTCAGTCTCTCATCTTGTTTTCTAAACAAGAGGCCAATGCTCTGGGACCAGGTCACTTTTCTACAGGCACAGGACAGGGCCCGCAGAGCTGGCTTGGAACTCAGGGCTGCCGAGGCTGCCTGCCATGTATGCTTCTGCCTCTGTGAGCAGGCTACAGGGGAGCAGGGTGAGCAGGGTGGCATGGTCACAACTACCCACCCATGGAAGGTGAAGGCAAGAGCATGACAGCGTGTTTAAGGCCGCCCTGCTCCATGGAACTCCCCCCCCCCCAGGACTACATAGTAAGACACCGTCTCAAAAGCAACAAAAAATACCAGCCAAAGCAGGGCCGGGGAGATAATGACTCGGTGGGTAAGAATGCTTCCTGTGTACACATGAGGACCTGAGTCTGGATTCCAAGCAGCCACATAAGAAGCTGGGAACAGCCGCATGTGCCTGCAACCCCAGTGCTGGGGATAAGGTGTGAACAGGGGTGTTGGGGCTTGTTGGCCAGCCAGGCTAGCTCCGGGTTCAGCAAGAGGCCCTATCTTAAAGTAATGAGGCAGAGTCATAGTGCAGGACACCTGATATCTTTCTCTAGACTCTCTGTACATAACAGTGCACTGGGCATACACCACACACACACACACACACACACACACATTATACAGACACAATATACACACACAGATATACACACACATAATACATACATTATACAGACACAGATACATACAAATACATGCATTATACAGACACAGATACACACACACACACACATACACACAAGTACCTATTTCCCCACAAAACCCAACAAAACACCCTCAAGACAAACTAGGAGCTATAGAAATGTGTGACACAATGCAAGGACAGCTGACATGACTTCTGAGGAATTCTGACCTCCTCCCATGTGTTCTCCTTGGGCCTTGGACTCACAGGTGACACAGCAGGCCATGGAGGATGCTAAGCTGGACACTTGCTTGGTCCTGACGCCTCCGTGCCTACACACAGCAGCCGATGCACTCACACTGGACATAACCTTCCTCTCTGGATCCCCTGATAGCCTGGACCTGCTCTCCCCAGACAGCTGCCGCAGACAGACAGACAGACAGACAGACTTTATTTACACCCACCAGCACAGCCCCATTTCCTGCAGATTGGAAAAGACATACAGGTTCACACCTCAAATTTGATTTGTCTGTACCTCGAGCAGTTGTGGAAAGTTGGAGGCATTTAGTGGATAACGGGGAACCAAAGCCACTGAGGAAGGATGGCCCATTGTGTCATCCCA